GCTCTGAGGGCTGGCTGCCCCAACCCCACCCTTTCTGGGAGCACAGAACGCCCCCCTCTTCTCTTGCCCAGGACCCCAGCAAGAAAGTACGTCGGCCCCCCGCTCCACTCATGGTCAGACATGCACATATACACACACACATACCTTGCAGAATGCAATGAAAGATCACTTCTAATTCATCATCTCCTGATTTTGCATTTAGCTCTATTTCCCTTCCATCAGTCTGCATAGCAGGACTCAGATCAAATTTTATTGTGCACCTAAATACTTTGAACTAAGGTGCTTAGAGAGATGAGTCTGACTCTCTTCTCCATTCTGCTTTAAATAAGGACATTCCCTAATTGGTATCCCTCACACAATACACTCTTTTGCCTATATTAATTATCATTATTAATATTATTTTATTATTATTATCAGTGGTGGTGGTGGTGTTTGTATTATTGCAGCACCTAAAAGCCCGTGTCATGGATGAGGAACCCACTGCACTAGGTGCTGTACAAACACAGAAAAGACAATTCCTGCCTCAAAAAATTTCTGCTACAAGCAAAATATGTCAGCTTCCATGTTCAAATTCATGCAAGGATGTGGAACCTCCTGCCTGGAAGCTGCCTGCAGTTCATCAGGATCAAGGGCAAAGTTTTGAGAGGGCAAGGAGGGCTGCAGCCATGCGCACCAGGATGCGGCTTGCTTTTCTTCCCATTCCCCTGATAAGGGAGCGAGGGGAAAATACTTGGATTCTATGCATGCCTCTCACTCTTGGCTGGTGAAGGGCGGGGGCAGAGGTGAAAATCATGGAATCCAAATACTTTCCCCTCACTCCCTTATTATCAGTGGAATGCAAAGAAAAGCAAACCTCATCTCAGTGTGAATGGTGGCTGCCCCTCTGACACTCCACTCTCTCCAAACTCTGCTGTTGATCAGGATTAGCCCTGGCATCAGACACGTCGTTTATCTGAGTGTCCACAGGTATAGCTGCTCACAACTCCCATTGGCTTTGAACAGCGAACTGTGACCACTAACAGCTTCGAGCAACTGTGCCTGTGGACTCTCAGGTAAATGAAGTGTCTAGTGACCCATCTGGTGAACAACAACCAGCAGCACACCAGAGGTTTTCACCCCTGAATTAGGATAAATCTGAAGTGGTGAATTACTTAAATCCAACTGTTGCAGGACATGATACGTTGGCATAACATGACACAGGAATTAAGTAACAAAATAAAACAAACAAACAAAAAACATTATGGAACTAACGTAATGTTTGCCATCCTTACCTTTTTCACTCTGCTGCTGTGTCCTATCCAACTCCCACCCTGTGTATGCCTGCTCTATTTAGACTGCAAGGTCTGTGGGGCAAGGTCCATCTATTACTACATGTGTGTAAGTAATACTGCCTAGAGAATAATGGAGCGCCATTCTCATACTCCATATCCCTTAATTCACACTGTATATTTTCAAGCTTTATCACTTAAGGTCTTTAGAGGCAAACTACATTACTCAGGTTACACACATAGTCCTCTTTATACAGATTAGTAAATCAATGTCAAATGTTTCTATTTATAGAAATAAATGAGCCTCGTTCTCATGCTCCATGATAATTCCCTGTATTCCCTATGGGTGCACCTACACAGCATCCTAAACTTGAAATAAGATACGCAATTTGAGCTATTCAAATTGCGTATCTTATTTCAAATCGATTTTGAAATAAAGTGCTATTTTGAGACATCCCTTAACAGTTGTGGAATGAGGGTTACCAGGATGCCAAAATAGCACACCCGTTATTTTGAAATAACAGGTGGCTTGTGAAGACATGGGGTAGCTATTTAGGGATACTATAGGTATTCCAAAATAACTGTACAGTGTAGACATACCCTATGAGCTTAATCTAGCCATTGCCTTTAAGGAGTCTTTATTGTGAATGGCCTCTGCACTCCTGCATGGAAACATGGTAATGGTAAACAACCATCCTGGCTTAACCAGGAAACCTTCCATGACCTGGAATGACCACCACCACCACCAACCACCAGCCATACAAAAAGTGAAAATTACGTTAAATGATGAAGGATGAATATAAAAACAAAAAACAACCCAAGCACATAGACACAAAATTAGGAAGGTGAAGGCAAAAATGAGATTAAACTACCTACCATCACAAAGGGTAACATAAAAACATTTTACAAATACATCAGATGCAAGAGGTCAGAGGCTCAGGGCTCCATGTACTGAGCTGACTGACTGGGCGGGGCTGATTAATCACCTGTGAAGCTGTGCTGCCCCACAGTTTAGAAGGAACACTGGAAGCAAGAGGAAGATTGTGACAGGATAGGTCCATTACTCAGTTGGGAAAAGATAATAGAAAATGCAGCAATGGCTGAAGTGTTAAATTCTTTCTTTGTTTTAGGTTTCACAGGTTTCAAAAGTTAGCAGTGATTTGACCACAACATAATAAACATTAGTGTAAAGGGGGTAGGTTCTCAGGCTAAAATAGGAAAAGAACAAGTTTAGAATTGCTTAGACAGTTTAGATTTTTCAAGTGGGCAGCATGTGATGAAATATATCCTAGAATACTTAAGAACCTGGCTGAAAAGAGCTCTGAGACATTAGTGATTATCTCTGAGAACTAATGGATGGCATGAGAGACCCAAGAGAACTGGAAAAGTGCAAATATAGTACCTAGCAATAAAAAAAAGGGGGAGATGAGGATAACCCAGAGAGTTATAGACCTGTCAGTGCAACCTTGGCACCCGGAAAGATAATAGAACAAATCATCAGACAATCAATTTTTAAGCACCTAGAAGAAAATAAGGTGGTAAGTAAAAGTCAACATGGATGTGATTTAAGTCGATGTGATATACCTCATTTTAAGTCAGATTTGTTGATACTGTCTAACATGACCTTCTCATAAATAAAATAGAGAAATATAGCCTGGATGAGCCTATTATTAGGTAAGTGCATAACTGGTTATAAAAATGTACTTAGACATTTATTAGTGATCCACAATCAAGCTGGAAAGGCATCTTACTGGGTCCTGCAGAATCTATCCTGAGTGCAGTTCTATTCAATATCTTCATGAATGATTTGGATAATGGTGTAGAGAGTGCATTTATAAAGTCTGCAGCTGATACCAAGCTGGGAGGGGCTTCAAGTGCTTTGGAAGGACAGGATTAAAATTCAAAATTATCTTAAACTGGAGAAATGGTCTGAAATAAACAGGAAACAATTCAATCAGGGCAAATGCAAAATAGTACACTTAAAAGGAATAACCAATTGCACAAATATAAAATGGGAAATCACTATCTAGGAAGGAGTACTGCAGAAAAGGATCTGGGGACTATAGTGGATCACAAATGAAATATGAGTCAACAAAGTAACACTTGCAAAAAAGGCAAACTTCTTTCAGGGATGAATTAGCAGGAATATTATAAGCAAGCCATGAGAAGTAAGGATTGCACTCTACTCAGCATTTATAAAGCCTCAACAGGAGTTGAGACTTTCACTTCTGGGTGCCACAATTTGGGAAAGATGTTGACAAATTGGAGACAATGTACAGGAGAGCAACACAAGTGATTAAACATTTAGAAAATATGACCTATGAGAAAAGATTGAAAAAAATGGGTTTGTTTAGTCTGGAGAAGGAGAGATATAATAATAATCTTCAAGTATGTAAACAAGTGATAATTTGTCCTCCTCAACTACTGAAGACAGGATAAGAAGAAATGGTCTTAAATTGTAGCAAGGGAGATTTAGATTATACATCAGGCAAAACTTGCTAACTTTATGGTAGTTAATAACTGGACCAAATTACCTAGCGAAGTTGTGCATTTGCTGTCATTGGAAGTTTTTAAGAACAGATTAGATGAACACCTGTCGGGGTTACCTATTTTATAATTAGTCCTGCTTCTGGGCAGGAGACTGGACTAAATGCCCTGACAGAATCTTTTCCAGTCCTATATTTCTATGATTCTATGTTGATGCAGGACTCATGCACAATCTGGGCCCTAGAGGATGGGAGTGGGTAGCCTGAAACTGGAAAACATATGGCACACATGCAATCACAGAGGCAGGAGAGAAACTCTCACGCCTCCTGATACAATATCCATTCACGCACAACTAAACACTGAAGAAAAACACATAACATTAATAGACAAACCAGAGAGAGGACTCTCTCTGGTCACAACTAAACAGCATATGCAGATGAACAAAAGGAACACACACACACAAATGGGACAGGACAATCAAGAATATACTAAATGATGAGTCTCTCCTCCTTCTCAGAAAATAAAGGCAGTGAAGGTTTGATTTTCATTTCTCAGAAGGTGTAATTTCTCAGGGAACACTCCACAAATCATACACTTATTTTTTTGAGGTCTGCATGTCTCTTGTTATTGCAAATTGACCTCCATGGTGAAGAGGAAGCAGTCCACCTACTTCTCCTTATCCATAAAAATCATAGCTGAGAAATGAGACTTCCAGGAATGGGGAGTAGTCAAACAAGTACAAATTGAGAGAAGAAAGAGAATCTTTACTTAATTGAGAACATCAGGAATATGTACTCCTTCCTGTTTCTAGTGGAGACAAGGAAGAGAGTTCAACCAGCCAGAAGTAAATCTGGGGTTTTGGTATCTTGGAAAGCATGTGCATTCAACACCTTAATGCAGTTGCATTCCATACTATAGCATAGGAACTTGATGAGGACAAATGGATCCTTATTAGAATGAATGTGAATGTAGTTAACTGAAAAAGTGTTAGTAGTAATCTTAGCATCTAAAATTGTAAGCACCCTGCTAGTTTTAGGTGATACCATGAGTATCTTTATTTTCAAATTAAACAATCAAAATAATTACTGCAATAAACTTAGGATTTATCATGGTACTTTTCCAGCATGGTATATAAACATTATTTTGTGAACAGATCCTGTGAATAAATACCTAATCCCTCATTATGCATTGAAAGTCAACCTACCAGTTTTCATGCTACAGAAAAAAAGAACACAAAATTCTTACCACAAATCCCTCAGTGTATTGAAACTGAGGTCTGGAAGTGTCTTCTGCTGTTGGACTCAAGGGCTTAGGATCCGACATAGAGCGCTGCATGCTCTTTGCAGACTTTGGGCTCAGTGGAGGAACCTTGGCAGTATCAGCATGCAGCATCTTTGGAGGGCCGATGTCATCAGTAATTGGTTTTTCATAGGGTACAAAGGCAGACTCTATAACTTTGCTTGGTGAGACAGGTGAAATGGGTGAATATAGAACTTTGGGAGATTTAGGAGGGGAAGGGACTACCTGTAGTGTGGAATCTGCACGAAGATGGGATGAGTAGCCTATTTCTAGTGGTGTTGGACGCTTTTTATCTTTCTGTGGAGATGTAGCTGTTAAGTACTGGGGACTCTGCGTATCTGAGTCTGTTTCTGTTTGACATCCCAAACTTTCTCCTTTGTATGTCTTTTCTGGAGCTGAAATATGCTTAATGATTTCAACCTTAGCATCCAGCCTAGCCCTTATTGAAGGTGTTCTTATTGTCCCTACTGGTTCTGTCTGTACAGAAATCTCTGCCACTGTCTGAACTGCAATACTGGACACTTTGGAAAATGGCTTAGCCTTGTCTACCTCAGTGGTACCCTCGTTATATTTCCCAACACGAGACTTCCTTCTTGATCTGTTAGAAATATCCCATTCATCCTGATCTTCATCATCCGTCTGAACGCTTGTGTCAACACTCTTCTTAGTTCTCCTTCTCCTGCTTGTGTAACTTCTGTCTGCACCATCTTCATCATCAGTTTGTACTCCACTGTCCACTATTTTTTTAAAACTCCGGGGCTCTTCTCCCAGGGTCTCTTCAAGCTCATCATACTGACCACGCAATTTTGGCATGGAGCTCCTCTTTTTCAGTTGTTTCTCCTCTCTCACATCGATGTCCTTAAGAGACATTTCTGAAACAGAGTTTAGCATACCAGGCCTAGATATATATTGGGTAATACCATCTGACTGAACTGGGTACCAGGTTTGGCTTTGTGGAATTTCAATGCCCAGCACAGTGGAAGTTGTGGTGGTTGGGTCATCACTAGTCCAAAACTGGCCATTTTCTGCAGCAGTGTACTGCCCTTCCAAGAGCACTTGGTCTGTGCTTGTTTGTGGAGAAACAGTTCCAGAAGGGTCATAATTATACTGATATATCTGGCGAATTTTTTGCTCCTCCAGCTGCTGATGAAGCTGCTGTTGAAGTTGCTGAAATTGCTCAAGCTGTAGTTGCTGCTGGGCTAAAGTTTCCTGTCTCATCATGAACTGAGCTTGTCGTTCCTCTTCTTGCTGAAATAAGAGATGGTGCTTCATGGATTGCAACTCCTCCAGTTTCTTTTGGACCATAAGCTTTTCTTGTTCTCTAAACCTTTGGATTTCCTGACGTTCCCATTCTAGTTCCTCTGCAAAGCGCTGCTGCTTAAGTTTCTCAAGCTCAAGCAGTTCACGTTGTAATTCAAGCTGCTGCTGTTTGTCTTCTTCAGGAGCAATAAGAAGGGCAACTTCATCTTCAATTACATCTGTAAAAGCTTCAGAGGCTGTTGTTAAAACAGGCATCAGGTTAGCTGTCTCAGTGGTAACCGTTTCTATAGTGCTAGGTTGCAACACCGTGTCAATATCAATGCCAGTAATTGCATTGTCTTTTTCAGCTGCCACTGTTGTCAAGAAACTGTATGATCTTGGAAGTGGCTGATTCTGTTGCAAGGTTGATAATGAGGGCACTGAGTCAATTGTTTGGAGAGCAGATAAATCTCTGACAGTTGTACTGAAAATAGAACCAGGCTGTGTGGTTATGGCAAATGTGGCTGGGATTGGAGTTGCAACCGAGGAATAAACAACACCATTAGATGATCGTAACACACTTCCAACACCATACTGGGATCCCAGAGAAGGTATTATCCTGGCTTGGGAATACTGTGGTGCACTAATCCCGATGCCTGAAATCACTTGCCGAGTCTCTGGATAAGGACCAGTGCTCTTGCTTGAGTAATCCATTACCTCACCTGAAATTATAGGGCAAGAGTTATAGTCCAGTCCCCCAAAATTATGCTGCTTTGTGGATTCTGAAAGCCATCCCATCTTGATGAATTAAACAGGGGTAGGGAACTGCATGCAAATCTTCAGGTTAATGATCTAGTTTAGACGTGAAGAAAAAAGCATTGCTGAACATGCAGGCACATGCAGGACCCCTGTGCAAAAACACATTGTAAAATGAAGAAATAAAATAAAGGTGGGATCCAAAATAATTTGTCACATTGTCCAACAGAAAACATAACAACAGAAGGAGGAAAAAAAATTTTAAAAAATTATCCTGATATGAGATGAGGAACACCACAATTATATTTTAAAGAAAGGTCTGTTGCTGTGTCATACTGACCTGTACTGACTCTTCCGGAAGTCAGATCTACTGCTGCATCTGTTGCCCCAATTCGATAATCAAAGCTATTCTTGCTTTTGTAGGCAAAAAGGCCAGCTTCCGATAAATTAGTGTCAGACATAGATGGTTTCATACCTCCAAATCCTCTATACCCATAGGGCCCTGAGCGATCATACTGATAATGGTCATCTCTGTAACCAAACCGATCTTCAGGCAGTGTGGTTGGCGGCTGCTGTGCTGTACAACTACTGCCAAATGGTAATTTATAAACCACATCACAGCAAACAGCTCTTCTCCCTGCAGTCAGATCAACAGGCTTTTCTTCTTCTATGACGCTGGTGACAACTCCTGAAGTAACTTCATCCACCGCCACCATGGTTCTGTGGGATTTCGTGGTGCTAAGATCAACTGCACCACTCTCTGTTAGCTCTTGGGATGTTGAAACATCAGTCCAACCATTTGTCACGCCAACAGGAGGAACAGTAACAGGCATTGCAGTAGCCCATGACACTGCCTGTGTTGAAGTACCCAGAGATAAGTTTATTGGCACTTCATCTCTACCTGCAGAGACTGCCTGGCTGCCTATTACTCTGTATGCAGGATCAAAATGTTTTGACGTAGTCAGCTGCAGTGGTGTTGTCATTGCATGTCCGAGATCTACAAGGCTCTCTGTACTTGATGTGTAATTTACAGTAGCTGTGCAGGCCATTATTGTTACTGTTTCTGTGACTAGTGCTAGAGAAGGTTCTGCTGCTGACACAGTGCTAAGATTTATGATAGCTGGTTGGACAGCACTTACTGGCCGCCCACTTACATCACTTGCCACAGTTTGCCTTCTCACATCCGTCGGAGCTGCAGACAGATCCATACAGCTGTCTGTCATTTCAATATCCATTTTAGTTAAAGTACGAAGGTCAATAACATCACCAAACAGATGGAATCTTCCATTCTCTGTACCCCTGGGTTGCTCACCTATATATGTTGGTTCTGGAGGTATAGTAATGGAGACACTACCTAAACCAACAGAGGGAATTGAGCTTTTAACCACAGACACTGTGGTCTTGGTCACTTCTGTTGTTATTAACTGTGTTACTGAGCTAGGGACTGTTTCAAACGTTGATTGTGCCGTGACAGGAATGGTGGAAAGAGCCTGCAAAGCACCTGAAATATACATGCTGTGATCTGCCATACTTTGAATCTCCAAAGCTTTCATAGATGGAGTAAACAGAGGTTGCATATTTTGGGGAAGCTGTTCCTTCCAGGGCGAACCTAAAGGCCAACTGGTAATAGCTTGACTAGTTATAGAGTCTGTGGGAGTTCCAGGTTCAGATGGCAATGTGATAACAACATAGGTCTCCTGCGAGGGTTTGGTCAACCTTGGTGAAGATTTGTTGGAGTGTGGAGACAAAGGGGATGATGGGGATGGCAACTTGCACTCTGCTGAAGAGACCAAATTCAAAGTCATGCTTTTCAGTGACAAACCTGTTGGTTTTGGCTGTTTTTCTGCTGGCTTATGATGAGCAGCTATTGGGTGCTGAGGAACTGCTGGCTTAGGAGCAATTGGAGGCTTCGTTACTTCAGCAGGCCTGTGACTGAACACAAGCCCTGCTGGAATTAAGGATGGCTTAGGTGGCACAGGAGGTGGTGTTGGGGTGTATATTTTTGGAGTAGATACAAAATTGTTTTTTAACATATCTATAGCCTCTACGGCTACAACACTAGTAACAGAAGGTACCACTTCAGAAGTTGCCGCTGGAGTCTTATCCTGTGGCTTCTTTTTGGGATAGATAGCTGGTTTAGGTGGAGTAGGTGGAGGTAATGGTAGGGGAGGTGGAGGTGGCGGAGGTGGTGGTGGAGGAGGGGGTGGCGGTGGTGGAGGTGGTGGAGAAGGTTGAGCAGAAGAATCCAAAGAAGAACTTCTAAAAAATGAGAATACTTTGGATGTTACAGTTGGAACTGAAGAAGCAATAGATGGTAATACAGATACAGTGCTAGTCTTAGTTGTAACATAGGTAGTAGATACAGAGGATGTGAATGGGGATGACTTTGATGTAATACACACAGGAAGTTGATCAGATGCAGCCTCAGCCAAATTAGTTATTGTCATCTCAAACTCAAATCCTTTGTGTACATCTTCAGAAAGTGCCTTAGCAATATCAGTATCAGCTGTACTTTTAATTTTTCTGGTGGTGTCTTTTTCAGGTTTGGGTGACTCAAAGATATTGGACTCAGAAGTATATTGCTTCGGTTTTATAGCCATTGTTGTCACTACTGAAGGTGCATCTCCAGGCAAAGAAATTACACTATGATCCACACTTGCCATATCTGTGGATACATCTGTCTTTTTAAGGGGCACAGTAACAAGTTCATAAGGTGAGCTTATTTCAGAAAGTTCTGTTGTGAAACTTAAGGGAGCTTGAGCTACAGCACAGATATCTTCAGAATGCACTAATTTACCTACAGCATCTGCTATGTCTACATAACCCATAGTTGTGCTATCTATTCCAGTAACAGGTGAAGAGCTATCAGTGGTACAAACTGAAGATGTAGATGATGTAAGGGAAGATGTATCATAAGGTAAAACTGATGTTGCACTTTCTGATGCCTCAATGTAGGTCAACATTGATGTTTCATGAGAAATTATTTCCTGAACTTCTCTGGCATAATCTGTTAGGTATTCATCTTCTATTTCTTCTGTAGTAAAGTGCTGAGTTATTTTAACATCTGGAATAGAATGCACTGTGCTGCTGACTAACGCTGTCTCTGAAACGGTCATAACATCACTTGATGCTAAAGATGCACCATCCACTTTGTCTCCAACTACAAATATGTTTTTATCTGGTGCAGGAGTTAAATCAGATGTTGGCTGAGTTGGACTGGAGCCTGGTGTTAGCTGTATTCTTTGTCGTTTCATAAGCTCCTCATAAGCAGCATCTGCATCTAACAGCTGCTTTTGCTCAGTAGTGGAAGTTACAACACTGTCCAATACAACTATCTCATGACTTTCTGGTATAATGTAAGAACTAGACACAATGTCTTCTTGAGGCACAATTGAATGCAAAGGCTGTATACTGTAATAGTCTTTCCGTTGATCTACAATTTTCTGCATAGCTTCTTCATAAATCTGATCAGAAGGTTTTATTTTTCTCTCTCTCCCTCTCTGCTGAATGAATTCTTTACTTTCATCTTGTCTCATTACAAGATTAGCATCAATACTTCCATTATATGTGTCCTCTACTAAAGATTCATAAATATAATCCTCTATTAACATCCCACCATATAAAGATTCTTTTTCAAACACTTCTTTTTCATTTGGATTTTGAAATAGTTTGGATTTATGGGATTTGTACATCATTTCCTCATAAACCTCTTCAGCACTTTTCAATGTTTTTTGACTACTTTCTTCTTTTAGGACCCCAACAGGTTGTTCATCTGTTGGAGAATATAAAGAGACAGCTGTAGGCAACTTATAAACCTTTTGCACTTCTATTATTTTTTCGGGGCTGATTTCAAATCCTTCAGGATCTGACTCAATACTTGGTGAATATTCAGAACAGGAAGATCGATGCAGCTCTTCCATTTCTGCTGCCTGTCGTAACTCTTCCGTTGGAGATGCATCTTCAATAGGAGAAAGATTACTTGGTGGAGTCTTTGGATGTTCCCGTCTTCTCTGTGCTCGTAGCTCATCTTTGTCTTTCTTAGATTTTTTGCTAGAACTCTTTCTTTGCTGCTGTTCTAATTCACGTTGTTTCTCTTGTTCCTTTAGCAGCTCTTCCTCCTCCCTTAGCTCTTCTTCTTCTGAAGAATCTTCAATGGTGGGTAGAAGAGGACCATGTGACCGGTGTCTGGCTTTGCGTTGTTGTTTGCTTTCTCCTCCCATTTTTTTGTGACTAGGACTGCTGTCACTATCTTCATCGAGAGATGACACAGATGTGGGAGACGTACCGGGAGTGAAACTGGAGGCATGCAAACTAGAAGACCCTTCACCTCGGGATCTGTCTTCCGGTGAATCTGTAAGACTCTCCATCTCTAGCTCTGGCTCTTCATCAAAATATAAGCTAACCTTCTGTGGTTCAGCTGCCTCAGAATATGTATTTGTTATTGTGCTGTTGAGTTCTATTGTTTTGAAACGTCGAAGACCTCCTCCTCCTCCAGTTACAGTGAGTTCTTCACTATCCTGACTTTTGGTTTCCCTAAATTTAGGTTCTGGGCTTTCATCAAAAGTTTCGTCATCATCATCATCATCATCGTGCCATGAATGACGTCTTCCAGTATCCTCATCATAGCTTGTGATACTTTTCCGCATCATCCTCCTATGTTTTCCAGCTGTCCCTTTAGCTTTGACTTTCACTTCTTCCTTCTTTTGGCTTTCAATTATACTGATTTCTTTAAGCTGGTTCCTAATGAATTCGTCATCTTCAGAACCAGAGGCATCTTCATCAGCACTCATCTCTATGATCTGTTTTCGAATGAAGTCTTCATCATCACCTGATCCAAGACTGTCTTCTCGTTTGTACTCATCGCTGCTTGAGGAACTGACACTAGTTCGTCTTTTTCTCCTTGGCACAGGTGAGTTTTCACTCTCGCTGCTGTCTTCTACAGAATCATAGCGTTGCCTTCTTGTTGATGTATCGTCTACTGCATCCACCTTTTCCTTATAGTCTTTCTGAGTTGTAACACTTGGTTTTCCATCTTCTTCAAGACCATCTTCATCTTCTTCTTGAATGTCTTCCAGATCTTCCTCATCTGAACTATAAGGTTCTGGAGTCATTGGCAAAGGCTTTGTTCTATGCTGATCCTTTGTCTGTTCACCATATATACCATAAAGATCTTTGGTCTTCCCAGACTCCTCCTCAGCAAAGGTACTGGCCTGGGCTTCCAAAATTGACAAAACTGTACTTTCCAACTTTGCAAGATCTGAGGGGCTTGAAGGACTGCCTTCTTGTGAAAAAGTATCTTTTTTAGACAGTTCCTTGAGTAAATCTTTTTCATCACTGTGGATAAGACTTGGAATTTCACCAAGTGAACTTGATATCCCATCAGAAGAATACCCAGTGTCACTCAGACCTTGTGGACTTCTCTGTTGCTGAGAGATTGATGTTTCTGATTTGTCAATCTCCTTCTCCTAGAAAATAAATATGTATATATATATCAATTCTTAATGTCACCAGGCTGTTACATATAAGGCTTTTTCTCAAAGAAGGGTTAACATTCCCAATGAAATATTGTGATAAGAAGTATTTTAAACCAGAAGATTAAACCATAAATTAATGAAACACTAATTTTGATACACAAAGTGGTTTAAACATCTAAAAAGAGATCCTTGAATTATGAGGTTTTTTCAATGTAATCTAATTATGCTTTGCATGACAGTTCACGTATGCAACTGATTCATCATGTTAAAAGCTTATGGTTGGTCTTTATTTTTAAACATAAACAAACACTGTAGTCCTCTGTCAGAACACTTTCTAATTATAGTCTGTTGCATAGTGGTAGATGATCAATGCATGATGGATTTAGTTTAAAGATTTTTTTTTTATCACCTCGGATGCAAAGCTAAATAGTTGCAGATAATTAAACACTGGCATAAATTGCCTAGGGAGGTTATGGAATCTCTAACAATGAAGATATTTAAGAACAGGTTGAATGGACATCTATCAGGGATGAGCTAGATGGTGCTTGGTCCTGCCATGACAGCAGGGGACTGGACTTGATGATCTCTCGAGGTCCTTTCCAATTCTAGAATTCTATGATTTTATGATTCAAGATATACTAGAACATGGATTCCTGTTTGTCAGCCTGCAACATTTCTGGCTTCTACTCCCTTCTTTCCCAAATTTAATCTCCCTTCCCTAAAAATAACCTCAGTAGCCAGGGTGATTGGCCTTTGGTTTCTGTCTCCCAGTACTACTCTCTCTCTAGTATGCAACAGAATATATGAAATACTGAAATGAGTGCATGGTATCTGGAACACTCGAGAGCCTACTCCTGAGTATGCAAAAATTCAACTGGGAGGAACTTTCCCAGTGCTTAGGTTCAGAAGCAGAAGGTCTCTAAGTTCCTTGGAGATGTAGGCAGAGGCTGCTGCTAGAAAGTTGTGTCATAAGGATAAAAGCAGGAATATCAGCCAACTGAAAACCAACAACAACCCAAACTTCCCAGTTGTAATAGCCTTCTTTATTGCTAGTTATATGTCCTTAACTAGCCTTCCAAATTCCAGAACCTTCCATACGTGACCGGGGGCTTGTAGCCTTCTTTAAAGGTGACAAAAACATACATACATCCCTTGTGGCAAAGTACCTCCATCCCAAGGATCCCCCTGTTTCTGAATAAGTCTCAACTGCTAAATGCTCTCCCAACTACCAAAATTCCTATGTCTCCTAGGGTATGTCTACACTACCACCCTAGTTCGAACTAGGGTGGTAGTGTAGACATACCCTAGGAGACATAGGAATTTTGGTAGTTGGGAGAGCATTTAGCAGTTGAGACTTATTCAGAAACAGGGGGATCCTTGGGATGGAGGTACTTTGCCACAAGGGATGTATGTATGTTTTTGTCACCTTTAAAGAAGGCTACAAGCCCCCGGTCACGTATGGAAGGTTCTGGAATTTGGAAGGCTAGTATCTGTACGCCTCGTGGAATGTGGAATGGTAGTGCGGAATGGCTTGCTAGTCCGCACTATCTAGCCTGTGCCGCGTGTAGCCGCGCGGCACGGGGTTCGAACAAGCCGGCATTTAAAAATGGCGCCGGCCGGCTTATGCAAATGAAGCCCGGGAAATTCAAATCCCGGGCTTCATTTGCAAGTGCGGTATGCCTACATTACCACCCTAGTTCGAACTAGGGTGGTAGTGTAGACATACCCCCAGAGACAAGGGCCCCAAAGCCATCTCTCTCATTCAGTTAATAAAATATCTCATCCTCCCCTCAATGACAGGCACCTATCCTGCCTCCCAGCTGAGAACATGTCCCATTTATCAGTGACCAGTGTCGGTGCCTCCTCTGGCAACTTGAAAACCATCCTCTAAAAGTCTCCTGACTCCCGTACTGTGACAAGTTTGTTATGCAGGTTTATGCCTTCAGTAAATAATTAAGCTTTGGGCAGGGGGCTGGACTTGATGACCTCCCAAGGTCTCTTCTAGCCCTAGGATTCCATACTTTTAGGTCTTTTTATTTATACAGAGTTTTATTTGCAATACTATTTTTTAAAAAAGCTTGCAGAGAAATATTTCTTATCCTCAGTTATTATAATTTTCATGATTAATCAGGGTGAGATTTCTTAAATTATTAAGATTTATAGTCAAAGCACCTTACCACCAACTGCATGATTCGTATTGTATATTGATTAATGTTATATTAATACATTGAGGAATCCTGTGGCACCTTAGAGACTAACAGCTTTATAAGGGCATAAGTTTTCATGGGTAAAACCCACTTCATCAGATGAATTGGTATCGCAATTAGACGCAGGGGTATACCTGTGTAATTTCCACTCCAATTCATCTGATGAAGTGGGTTTTACCCATGAAAACTTATGCCCTTATAAAGCTGATAGTCTCTAAGGCTACATCTAGACTGCAGCCCTCTGTCGACAGAGGGATGCAAATCAAGCACATCAAAATTGCTAATGAAGCAGGGATTTAAATATCCCGGACCTCATTAGCATAAACATGGATGTCACTTTTTTTCGAAACGGAGCTTTTTGAAAAAAGGCAGTTTAGATGCAGCTCTGTCAAAAATAAAGCCTTTTTTGACAGATCCTGTATTCCTCAAAAAATGAGGTTTACAGGATCTGTCAAAAAAGGCTTTATTTTTGATAGATCCACATCTAGGCTGCTGGGATTTTTTCTGAAAGCTCCATTTAGGAAAAAAAGTGGTGGCCATGTTTATGCTAATGAGGCACAGGATATTTAAATCCCTGCTTCATTAGCAATTTCAATGTGCCTAATTTATATCTCTCTGTTGACAGAGAGGTATAGTCTAGACATACACTCTGGCTACGTCTAGACTGCATCCCTGTGTCGACAGACAGATATAGATTAGGCACATCGAAATTGCTAATGAAGCAGGGATTTAAATATCCCGTGCCTCATTAGCATAAACATGGCCACCACTTTTTTTCCTAAATGGAGCTTTCAGAAAAAATCCCAGCAGCCTAGATGTGGATCTATCAAAAATAAAGCCTTTTTTGACAGATCCTGTAAACCTCATTTTTTGAGGAATACAGGATCTGTCAAAAAAGGCTTTATTTTTGATAGATCCACATCTAGGCTGCTGGGATTTTTTCTGAAAGCTCCATTTAGGAAAAAAAGTGGTGGCCATGTTTATGCTAATGAGGCACAGGATATTTAAATCCCTGCTTCATTAGCAATTTCGATGTGCCTAATCTATATCTGTCTGTCGACACAGGGATGCAGTCTAGACGTAGCCAGAGTGTATGTCTAGACTATACCTCTCTGTCAACAGAGAGATATAAATTAGGCACATTGAAATTGCTAATGAAGCAGGGATTTAAATATCCTGCGCCTCATTAGCATAAACATGGTTGCCGTTTTTTTTTAAATGGAGTTTTTTTCAAAAAACAGCAGTCTAGACATGGATCGGTCGAAAATAAAGTCTTTTTCAACAGATCCTGTAAATCTCATTTTTTGAGAAATACAGGATCTGTTGAAAAAGGCTTTATTTGCAACAGATCCGCGTCTAGACTGCCATTTTTTTTTCGAAAAAACTCCGTTTTGGAAAAAAGTGGTGGCCATGTTTATGCTAATGAGGCATGGGATATTTAAATCCCTGCTTCATTAGCAATTTTGATGTGCTTGATTTGCATCCCTCTGTCGACTGAGGGATGCAGTCTAGACGTAGCCTAAGATGCCATAGGATTCATTATTGTTTTTGCAGATACAGATGAACATGGCTACCCCTCTCATTTCAATACATTGATATCAATCACTGCTACACAGGAATGTTTTATTGTGTATGTGACAAAGTTAGGTATTAATCTTTGAATATATGATATCTCTTTTAACCAAATAACATGTGTCCAAATATTTCATATCAGAAACGATGCCACTGTATTTTCTAAGGCATGTGCCATGAGAAGTACTCACTTCTTTTGACAATTCTGGTGATAGCCCTGACATATGCTATTGAGAATTAGCCTATTGCACTGCTGACATGATTTGTTCAGTGAAAATTGGGAAATTGGTATGATTCAGGACACCATTGATCAGAGAAAACTATCCTGGATATCAATAGCCTCTTAATCGCAGCATCTCACTTAGCCTTCATATAAAGGTCTTCACTGAAGTTTAACTAAAAACAAACAAAAAAAATCCCACAAAAAACTGGATTGCCTGTTTTCTTTCTCTTTTCCCGAGGGAGAGCAAATGTTCCTGTCAGCCTCCCTTACACCTCACACCTGTGAGGACTAGTGGCACCAACTGGAGCTGCCCTCAGCTTTGCATTTAGCTAGTTAGATTTTAACTAGACCCACAAAATCAAACACCAGAAGATCAATTTCTGGTGTGGCAAGTAAAGACGTGGCCTTAGTCTCTAGTCCTTACTCCATTCTCTGTACAGAGATGCCCTTGCTACAGTGGGAGTTCTGCTCGTGGAATTGTGCAGTCTGTAATGTGGTCCTGCATTGTGCATTGGCGTGCCACATTGTACAACTGGAGAACAAAATTTGTTTTGAATTACTGAAGTTGTTTTAGCTATAAAAATATATGTAATCATATTTTTTTTTAAATTCACTACAAGACAAGCAAAATTTACAAGAATTTGTTTTATAACTTAGACACATGTGTATAGTTGCGGGTCTAGTGATACCATCATGCAAATATAATCATATATACAAGGCAACATACATTTAATTTACCTATGATGTATCACTGCATGCCTCAGTTCTTTCAAGAAAATTATAATTGTGGAAGAACAACTTTTCAGATGAATGATGATGTTTGAAGGAAAATACAGTGCACATGAGGATGATGAAATTATTGTTATCACTGTCAACGAACATTTGGTGACTGAAGTTGATGGGAAACATATAACTTCTTCACTGTCAAAACTAGAGGGATTCTGGAAAACCTATAGACACTTCTTTCCATAAACTTGCCAGTTTAAATCCTGCTCCAATTCCCACCTAAGTCAATGGTATTGTCTTTCTATTGGCATAGGACAAGATTATTTTTGCATGAAGTTGGGCTGGCCTGCTAGAGAGGCTACATTTGTATTTTTCATTTTTATTCCTATGATTTTTTTTTTAACTTGTCAGATTGTAGAAGGCACCTATATTACAGCAATAAAACCCTCTTTTTACAGCTCTAAATCACTACAACTGTAGAAGCATTATGGCCAACTGGCTGCTTCAGTGGCAAGACTTAGAGGACCCGGGTTCTTCTAGTCCTGGCTCTTCTATGCTCCTGCTGGACAGTCTTTATGGGTCACTTTACCTCTCTTTACTTAGAAATGGTGCATCTGTTACCCAGTCTACAAAATGAGGGTGGTGATATTATCTTCCTTTGAGCAGCATTTTATAGGAATTGGGTGTTAATTAACTATTTCCTGCTAGAGGTTTTTTTTTTTTTTTCTCTTCAGTCCCCTTTATTATTACATAGTTATCCATCATTCAGATTCTGACAACGTTGCTTAAGGTATCTCTTTATAATATTCACTGACATGGTAGAAATAATATTACTGAGTAGTGAGATTAATATTAAAATGTTTAGGGGCTAAATTGCTTACAGGTGTCAAATTATTTAGATTAAATTAGAATACTGTTCAAAAGAAAATGAAAGTTTAAAAAGTATGCTATGCAAATTTTCAGAGACATTCTTACAGGGATTAAGAAGAGAACTATGCAGAAAATAGAAACTGTTTTGCTAAGGTTTAAAGATTTATAAATCTGTTTTTGTTCTGATTAGGAATTAAACCCCAAAAATTCTCTGAGTTTTTTTTTAAAGAAGTAGTTTTAGGTTTGTAGAAACATTTTTTCCAATTGTTAAATGTTATAACCCATAATATAGTACAAAATAAAAAATCATAAAGTCATTTTGAAAGGAAATTAGTTTAACATTTTCTTATGATGACTTCAAAATAAAATGTTTTAATATTGTTGGAACTTTCAATCACATGAATTTTTGGCAAAGTTGATGCTATTTTATAAATTATTTAAATTTTTAACAAATGAATTCTCCAGGGCAAAATATTCTGCTTAAAGTTTTTTTCTGAATCAACTCTAATTAAGAAACAATGAATTACTGGAAAGATCAGAGGTTATATAAGATTTTAATCAATGAAAAACACACATTTTAGCAACTGTATATTTGCTGGAACACATCAAATGTTACAAACCAATAGATGATTCTTTGACATTAAAGGTGTCATTTATGAGTCTAAAATGCTGGAGCAAAAGGCTTTGATCCCTTTGAATTTACCTAATCTTCTCCCTTACCACAGCTGGTGAAGAGGGCTGACATTTTTAATGGAGTTTTTTTGAAAGATCTTGTGTAAATACTTTTGGCTAAGACAAATTAATCAACTTCCTAAAAAATTATGATGATCAGTTCTACTTTCTGCATATGTCCAGGTGCTACAGAAAAGCCCCTCATTTTTTCTCCTCCAAGTATTGATAGAGTAATTTAGAATATGTTTTGACAGATTATACTTAATGGGCATAATAATTAACTGACAAAACCTAAAACCAAATTATTCAAGCAGGCAGGAGCGGCCCTAGACGAGCTGCCGGCAACTGGCTCCGTAGGTGAAACGCACGATCGGCGCTCCTGCCTCCAAAGCCCTCAACGGCCATTTATCTTGGCACCCTAGGCGACCGCCTAGTTTGCCTGTATTGACGGGCCACCGCTGCAAGCAGGCACAGTGTTGTCAAGTGGACAGAACACAAGAATAGGAGCCAAAAACTAATGAAGTCTAATCTTGCATCTAATTACTTACTCAGTGGCTTTGGGCAAATCCTTCAGAATCAGATCGATGGCCCAGTGAAGCATTGCCACTTGACATGAGGCCCTTAACCTCTGTATAGGTATATATAGGTTGCAATCAGAGGATGTGTGGTCATAGCCCATGTAGAAAAATCCAACATAGCTTTAATCTAGCTAGCACATGTACCAAAAGCAGTGAAGCAGTGGCTGTACAGGCACCAGCATAGAGTAGTCACCTGTGTAAGTGCCTGGGATTCCAGGTAGGCTTGTACAGACTGTGCTGATGTTCCTGCTATTATGACTTCATTAATGGAACTCAGACGAGCTAGATAACAGCTAGCGTGGCTATGTCTACACAGGGTGCAACCATGCACCTCAGCTGCACTATATGTCTTAACTTCCCTCTCTGTTAAATAGGAATACTAATATTGATCTATCTCATGGGAATGCTGTGAGAATTAATTGTTTTCATAGACATAGAAAACTACATATAGCAATTGTATGAGTTAAAATGTATTACTATTTCACTCAAATACCCACTTAAAAATACTTCTTACAGAAATCCTTAAACTATTCCTCTCCAGAATTCATTTAAAAATATTCTGCACTGACTGGAGATTGATTTGTACCAAATCAAGAGGTGTAAATATATATTCAACTCACATTGTTATATTCTATTTTACTTAGATTACAAGAGTCCTGGGGCAAGACAGTATCTCCCGCCATTTGTGGTACATCAAAGAAAACATTTCGGTGTTCAATAAATAATCAAAATTATTTTAAGGAAACAAACTAATAAATGTGCAATTTATTTTCACATAGGTAAAAACTAAGGATTTCCCTAGTGACCAAAGAAATACAGAAAGGAAGAACAATTAATGTAACCCTGGCATTTAAAAATTGGTATTCTTCATTAATTTATGTTTCAAAGAGTTCTGATTTTAATAGTAATAATAAATATATTGGTATTCACACCTGCACATAAATTGCTAAATAAACTTCAAAGCTTCATTCTGGTAATATAAAATATGTGTTTATCATCATATTCATTTTCAGATCAGTAAAGTGAGGTACAGAAGGAGAAATCTTATTCACTCCAGTACTCTCCTTGATTGTAATAAGTATTCAGTGGTACTATCACAAGAATAAAGTAAGCAAGTTTTGTATGCAAGAAATCAGGTGAAATACCATGATTAGAGTATGAGATGGTATGAGAGCTAGAAGCCAGAACTTTGGAATCTCAGAACAGTCCAGAACAGTGCCTTGGATGTTATACAGCATTTTTTTAGCCTTTTCATAATACAAAAAGGAAACTATAGCTCTGAAAATAGGGCTCATTGAAAATTGTCCATCAAAAATGTTTGACAGAAATTTGGGTTTTTAAGTATCTCTTGTCTGTGGAAAACTCAAATGCCCTCAATGAAAATTTTCAGCCAAAAATTAAAATGTGCTGTTTTGGATATTCTGCCACTATGACACATGAGAACTGCAGCTCCATTTCCTTACAATCCCATCCTTCCTAAAGGTTTGGCTCCCATTTTTAAAATGTATCTTCTCATCTCCCATGCCACAATTATCTTGTCTTACAGAAGAGCATGAAGCACCTACATTGGAGCTCCAAAAAGGCACTACAGCTATATTTCCAAAATAAACAATCTCACTTCTCAAAAATATGTTGGTGGGTATTGTTGTTGAAATATAGGCCAGCGCTATTTGAAATCTTTATATTGTGCCTAACAGATGTGAAAAAAAAAATTCTCCTTACCCACTCTGATATTTATGTAATGAATGACCAATCATTAGTTTAAGGTTAATTAGAGGGAGCACAATTTTTCACATTCCAAAAATATGTATAAATCATTTATTTAGCCACATTTGGTTGATGAATGGCTTAACAATTACTCTTCATACAACAAATGTACAGTGCAGTGAGGTATATCTGTACATGCTAACATTTATTTAATTATGTGAATGGAAAGTCTGTATATAACTTCTACTTGAAAACATGTAATTTTCCATGAGAAAAGGAAATAAGTTATACAAAATAATGTGGTTATGAATGGATGAGTAATGTGAATTATGTATGTCAATTTACTATAAAACATAGCATAAAGCCTGAACTGGGATTTAGTATTGCAGATCCCTGTATCATGCAAATCCCATTTGCCTTTGGTGAGCCAATGCTCACATGGACATAAAAATCTGTATTAGCAGATCCTAAAAGAGAATTAAGGTCCATAAAATTAGTGCATTCTCCTACCATTTCCAAACTAAGAAACGTAGCTATTTTATAATTTAAATTGGTCACTGCCTCAAACTAAAAATCTCTATAGCAAAAAAAAACAAAAAATCAAGAGCGATCAGTGAAAACAGTCATTAACAGAGTGAAACATTGATGCAGCTTGGTTCCTCCTGGGTTTGAGACCTATGGAATATGTATATCGGCTTCAATGATTATCACTGAATAAAATACTAAAGGTATCTAGAATAGCCATTAAAAAAAGAGAAAGGTTTGACTCTGACTTCAAAAAAACAATTTTGTTTTAGTTTCAGTTCTCAAATGCAGAGATTGAAAACTATGCAAACCCAAATGAAATACCAGACAAGGGCATTATGCGCCCTGTTCCAAACTGACAGGGTTTACTAGTAAGAATCATCCCATGTCATTGCAACGGCTTTTTAGAATAAAGACTACTTACATAGTCAAGGGTTTGCGGAATCTGGGGCCTATATTATCTACTTGAGGAAAAGGAAAAGAAATAAAAAGCTTACTGTTTTTTCTTTCTCTGATTCCACATGATCAGATTGTGTCATAGGGGCAACTTGAGTTAGGGTTTCTTCTTTCTGAATTTTTTCAGGTTTGGATACCATTTGTGGCATCCCAGTTCTCAAATCCTCCTTCCTCACCTCCTCTTGTTTCCTAACCTGCAGTTCTTCAGGAGGTACTTTGGCTTCTAACTTTTCTTTGATACCTTGTCCTTTACTCTCAACTCTGACATCCTCTTTTTTGTCCTCTTGGAGGGATGGCTTCTCTCGTGAGAATATCCCTTTTTTGTCTTCTTCCAATTTAATTACAGGTTGCTTTAAATCTGAATTTATTTCTGGAGGAATTTTATCCACTGACGTTGTCTTTGCTAGTTTCCCCAGCTGATGTTTTGGTTCCCCCTTCTGTATTTCTGGATTAATTTTATCAGCAGAGGGTTTCTTTGCTAATTTCCCCTGTTGAAATTTTGGAGATTCCTTCTGAATTCCTTGCTGGATTTTATCAGCCGAAAGTGTCTTTGCCAATTTCCCCTGTTGAAGTTTTGGATCTTCCTTCTGAATCCCCTGCTGAATTTTATCAGCTGAAAGCGTCTTTGCCAATTTCCCTTGTTGACGTTGTGGATCTTCCTTCTGAATCCCCTGCTGGATTTTATCAGCTGAAAGTGTCTTTTCCAATTTCCCCTGTTGAAGCTTTGGAACTTTCCTCTGAATTCCTGGTTCTTCTTTTGATTTTTCCACTACTTGGGTAGGTGGTGCTGCAGTTTTCTGAGGGCGGTCTGACTCAGGAGGCATAGGCTGGCTCCGAGGAACAACAGATGGTTTGGATATTGACTGTGAAGGGGCTGACATGGGAGGTGGCATTTTGCCCATATCCCCAAGTTGTCCTGATATTGCTCTTTGTGTCTGACAGTTTAGGCACAGCCATTCTTGTACCTATAACATAACAAACAATATTAAATTAATAAAATAAGTATTTTTGAAAGTAAAATCATATTATGCTTTTGGCTGTTATTTTCATTATAGTTGGGGGAGGGGGGGATCGACAGACTTGCTGGGCCCTGGGCAAGGCAGGAGAGACAGCTCCAGGGTTATGGAAGGGGTGAGGTCTCTAACAGTAGGGTCAGAGCTGGAGCAGAAATCCCTCAGCACCACCCAGAGTGGGCCATACCATAGACCCTCCCCCACCAGTGAGCCTTCAGGGCTACCCAGAGTGCAGAGCATGGCACTCCAGCGGTTATTTAAAGGGCCTGGGGCTCCATCCTTCCCTGCTCCTGTGGTAGTGGCAGCAGAGGCTAGGAGCCCACGACACTTTTGAATCACTTGGTCCTGGGGCAATTGCCCTTTCCCCCCACCCCCCGTATCAGCAGGCCTGATACAGCCTTTGCTATTCAAATCCTATGCACATCATACACAATTGTTTTCCAGGTTCCAATAGTTAGCTCTTGATTGAACACTTACCACATTCCTCTAAACCACACACAATGTAACATGCAATAATTTAACGTGCCCAAGGTAACAAGAGGGCTACATACACTTGAAAATGTTATCATTCATCCAGAATATTGCTGTCCTTTTGTAGAAAGCTTGCCCATATATGTCCAAAATCGAAAATGTATCAAAAGCTCTTATACCCATTAAGACAATACCTTCCTTGATATTTGTTCATCATTCTAACAAGGTGGTCTGTTTGTTTAAGGGACTGCTTTGCTTGATTTGTTTTTCCCCTTAGACTTTTTTTTTTTCCTATTGTGGATGTTCTAGTTTTGTGTGATAAAAGTGTAAGCGAGACAATAGGATATGAATGAAAGGCAGGTCATCTTCATCCCTTCACCCTCCTTTTCCCTCTCTCCCCCACCCGCAGTTGTTTGATAAATAATTTCTACATTCTGTGTCTCATTCGCCTTTCCCAGAAAACTAGAATAAAGGACAATGGGCACCTGTGTATAAACTCTTGTTGGTGGTTGCCTGGCTACAGAAGAGCCAGATTGCTTCCAGCAGAGCTTGGCTACAGTTGCAGCAGGTTTCCAATGGGAACCTGACACATAGTAAACAGTATAAAACCCCCAGAAACCTCTGGAGAAGGGGTTAGCTGGGAAGCTTTATTTTAAACTTGGCTAATGAGCCCCATTACTGGACCAGAATCATTATGCTGTAAATTATAAAAACCTTTAGTTTTTTTGTTTAAGAAATAACACTGATGATAATAATATATTATAAAACTGTGGCTGAAGAACACAAACTCTAATGTCTAGATCAAGGACATGCTTTAGATAATTTTTGAATAGATGTATTCTTGCAAAAAAAAGGCTAATATAGAATCATAGAGGTAGAGTCAGAATCAGAAGGGATTATGTTACTGATCTGTAAAGAAAAAAGAAAAATGTGCATCTAGTTCTGCAAGGTGTCCAGGGCCAGGTTTACAAAGCAATTGATCCACCCAAAGACAGAGATGGGTACCTAATGGCAGTTTCTAAAGCCCACAGACAGACTAGGTACTTTGTAAATACCACTAAGTGCTTATCTTCTTGTTTTGGCACCTAAATTCCTTTTTAAGTTTGGGCCTCAGCTACCAAGCTTTTTGTTGCATATGCCTGAGCTTAATACAGTCCTAATTTTTACAGAATTTGTATCTTCATCATCTCACACTACAATGTTGTGTTTAATTCTGACAGACCTATGCCCTTGACCATCCATGGACTTGTGCCTTGCAGGACTGAGCTCTGGGGAAGATTATCAACTTTTTCATTCAGCCTGTTTTGCTGACTGTCACGGGGCAAGCACTCACCCCCAAGGTGCATCCAGTTGGCCATTCTGGGAATTAGCTCTTCTGCCCAGGAGTACCCCCTTCCTGGCCAAATGCCCTTTCATCCTCAGACTGTCCTAGGTCAGTTCCCTGCCCTCTGGGCTGCTACGTTCCCAGGGAATCCTCAAGTCACCTATACCCACCTAGCCTCAGTGACTCACTGCCAATCATTATCTAGCCCCTTACCTCATGGGGAAACTGCTGTCCAAAATGCCACTCCTCATTGGCAAAGGGATGTGGACCTGCTGCCTTTTTCTATCCAGGAAGTTTTCTTGCAGCCCTAGTACACTCAGGCCTTGCCTCAGGTACTGAAGCCTGGGAGTGAGGTCAGGCCAGAGCTCCCCCTGACTTTCCCCAGCCCTGCACTGTCTACAGCCCGAGTACCCTCTGGCCTTAGCTCAGGTCCTGCAGCCTGGGAGTGAAGTCAGGCTGGAACTTCCCAGCACTGCTCTGTCTCAGAAAGACTCCAACTTCCATGGCAGACAGGTTCCTCCTGCTCCCCTCTAGAGCAAGAGTGTGTGTTTTTTCCTCCAGGAGCCCTTATTTATACAGCCCCAGCTGGGTCCTAATTGGCTGTATCTGCCTCAGCTGCCAACTCCACTCTCCCAGCCTTCTCCCAGGGCTGACTTTAACCCTTAAAGGGCCAGTGCGAGGCAGACTCCCTGTCATACTGACTCCCACAAAAAAAATCACCTTAGAGGGGTTACTCTATGTCAGAGGTTCCCAACCACCAGATGGTGGCCTGCTGCCAGGCTGTAGTGACTGTGAGGGCCGGGGTACACCACTCTCGCTGAGGCTGTTGGGAGAGGCGTGTCCTGCCCCTCCTCTCAACCAACCAGTGCCTGGCAGGGGCAGGGTCTCTTCCCAGCCTCAGAAGAGGCTTTCCTGTGCAGCAGGAGGGCCATGTGGCCCTCCCGCAGTGCAGGGAAGTGCTCTTCCATAGCCGAAGGAGACCACTCTCTCAACAGCCATGGTGGGAGGGAAGTGCTGCGCAGTGTGCCCCAGTTCCCAGAGCTGCTGTGATGCAGGCAGCAGCACAGGGCTACATGAGGAGGGCGGGGAAGTCACTGGGGGCTCTAGGGGTGGGGCTAGTGTTAGGGTGTTCTGGATGCTGAGCTACTAGTGGGAGAGGTTTTGAGGCCAGAGCTGGCACTGGGGGGCTCTGGGGATGGAGCTAATATTGGTGACTGGCACTGGGGAAGACACTGGGGGGTTGAGTGCAGAGGGGCTCTGGAAACAGGAGGCTGGGAAAGTATCATGGGGGGCTCTAAGGAGCAAGGGGCTAGCTCTGAGGCATTTGGGATGGCGGTTGGCACTGGAGGGCTGTGATGGCTGGAAGCTGGCACTGGGAGCACTGAGCTTGGGTGTAGGGGACTCTGGAGTCAGTGGCTGAGGGTTAGTAGTGGGGTAGGTGGCTCTAGGGGTTAGGGCTGGCACTGGAGGGTTCTGGGCGGCTGAGCTTTTGGCAGACCATTTTATTCACATATTTGCATATTCATCATTTACATAATGAATATGCAAATAAAATATTACCAATCTGTCAAAAGTTTGTGAATAGGTTTGTTAGTCCCTGTTATGAAAAATGCTGGGAACCACTGCCCTATCTTAACAATGAGTTCAGAATCTGGTCCTGAGCATTGTTCTGAAGTAGGACAAATACTTAAATGCCCTCCCTGAATCAGCCAAGTCAAGGAAGTTGGCTTTTAAGTACAGTCCCAATTGAAGAAAATGAAGAGCCTAATCCAAAATCCCTTTAAGAGTATGGAAAGACTCTCACAGACCACCTCAGGCTTTGAACCATGCTCCTAAGCTCTTTTTTTTTTAAATAAACTCTTTTCCCAGTCTAAAGCCACTAAAGCTCAGTGCTCCTCTCTCAAATAACAATTAGTTCTGAATTAAATTTTATCCTTCAATAAATGGTCAATTTATATCACAGTTTTCTGGTGCTCATGGTCTTAAACCTTCATATTTACATGGGGGAAAAAGAAGATTTCCAGCTTCGAAGATCAGAAGGGACCTTTTTGACCATTCAGTCAGCACTTCTGTACAACACAGGCCAGAAAACTTCCTAGAGCATAGCTTTTAGAAAAAACATCCACTCTACACTAAAAAGTACTCAGTGATGGAGAATACAATACAGCCCTTGAAAATTTGTTCCATTGGTTAAAAAATTTCACTCTGAAAAGTTTGCACCATATTTCCAGTCTGAGTTTCTTTAGTTTCAACTTCCAGCCATTGGATAATGTTATGCCTTTCTCTGCTAGACTCAACACCCTGATCCTTGTTCTCTCTTTGGGAGGCATTAGTTACAAAGAATGAAGAAGATCCTTTATTTGTGAAGAACACATGAAGCAGGGCTCTCCTTAAGATTTATGGAGCCCTATACAATACAATTGAACTGGTGCCCCTATTCCTGATGGCATCCAAGAAGGGGATTTTTTTTTTTTAGAGATGTGAGAATATAATTTTCAGGAATACATTAATGAAATATTTCAAAGCAAATTTTAATGAAGATCCTGTAGACTAACAGTAATTTCACAAACTGACAAGATATACCTCAGTTTGGTAAATGCCTGTTAAAGGGCTTCATCACCAGTTCAAAGCTTCATTTCTCAGGTTCAGTGTTCTGCTAATATGTCTGGCAGGTTTTTTTCACTTTTAAGTTAACTAGGTCCTCTCCAGAGGAAACAGAGCCATGGAGCAAGGATCAGAACTGGCAGGTGAGTGGACATTAAGACGCAACGTGCCCCAAATATTCAGGTGCCCTATGCAGCTGCATATTCTGTGTATGGGTAAGAACAGCCCTGCAAACGAATTTTCTTGAAAATATTTTCACTATTTGTTTCATACAGACTCTGTCCAGTCTAGTTATTTCATGCTGAAAAAATTGTAGCATCAATATTAGAAACACTAAACAAACTGTGCATTGATTTTTATAATCCTAAATGAAAGTAGCAGAGCCAGAAATAAATTTGGGCATAAAACCAATGCAAAAATAGCCACTTGACCATTAATACTATCATGGTTTTACAAGTAACTAAATATAACACATACTGCTAAAGTATGAAAAACCTATAGCAAATGGAGAACAGTCTCCCTCAATATCACTGATGTTTTTTCTTTCTCTTGA